TTTCCTTGGCCCTTTTATTGATCTATCCTTAATGTGCTCTCTTTGTATTCATTTGTTATACATCATTGTATGTCCTTTTTGCCTAAAAAAAAAAAACTAGGTTGGCACGTGTTCCAAAGCCTAATCACATGCTAAGCCAAAACCCAGCCAAAAACAGAAGATGAAAAACAAGACACCAAAACCTTCACTAACCCATCAACACAACTTGAAAAGGCATCCACAATAGCAAAACAAAGACAAAAAACAGAACAACAGTCTTGAAGTAAAAGCTGCATCACAGTGGCTTCCCCTTGTTGATCTTTTAATGCAAGCTCATAATGCACCTTCTCAAGTTGAGTTTGTCCCCTCCAGCGATTAGATAGTTGACTTATATTATATTCTAATTCAATCAGTTATTCCTTTCTTGTCTCTGTCCTTACTTGTACTATAACTATTCTAAGGAATCCTAATGGATTTAGCACATACCTAGGTGAAGATTTCAGAGTTTTTTTTTATCCGCTTCCCCTTTTACATCATAGCTCAATGCCATGGTTTGTAATTCATGTATTGTACCTCGATCCAATAGGGATACGTCATATGTTTAAGTAGAATATTCATGTTTGTGTGTGATTGTATAGTGGATTTAAAAAAAGCCATTCAAGATGTGGGACCCTAATCATGGAATTATTGTTGTCAATAGCTAGAATTCTCAATTATATTTATAGAAAAAAAAGTGACTAACAAAAATGTGTGTTTTGTAGAAACATTACCTGATTCCTGTGCAACTCCAAAAAATGATATGAATTTCCAAATCCTTCGGAGTCCCTTTGTCAGATTCCAGCAAATGCTTGACTATGGAGTGTTAATGTACACTAAACCTAACCCACTAACCTAACCCACTACATCCACCCCACTAAACCTAACACACTTACCATCTCCACTACCACCCACCACCTCCACTACCATCCACTACCACCACTCACTTACCTCACACCTCTCCTATATAATAGCTTGTAACATACAAATCAATACACATCAATCTTGTAATATATATCAAATCAATCAATAATACATACAATTTTTGTCTATCAATATATTTTACATGGTATCAGAGCCATAAGATTTAGGCCTATACTCTTTTCTTTCCGGCGGGCAGCCGGCCGACAACCTTGCCTTCGCTGCCCGCGGGAGTTTTTCAACCCATATCACTTACACATACCTCCTACTCCTACAGCTTCTCCTCCTACTTCAAATCAAGCACGAACAGAACCCTTTCGTGATCTCCGAATCGCTGTCGGCTCTGAATCTCATTAGCCCCTTCGAATCCATCTTCACTTCCAACCACACCTGGGTCGTACAACCCATGACCCGATCCGATTCCAATCAATCTGACCACCAGCCCCACGGCGGCGGCACCTCCTGTGGTGTCCGCTCCGCCGAGAGGCAGCCCAGCCGGAATCTGAAAAGTGATCTTCCCGGTCGGCGGATCATCGACAAATATATCACTGAGAGTGATCCAAAGCAAAAGCTCATAAAATGTAACAACTATTAGAGAGAGAGAGAGAGTGCTTTGATGGCCATAGCTTCTGCGTCTGCTTCATCTCCTTCTGCCATTCCTAGTGCACCGCGTCTTTTTTCTCTTTCTGTGAGCTCAAAGTGATGTGAAGCTGATCAAGTGGTTTTGCCTTTGACAGAATGGGCGACTTATACATGAGCATTAGCACACTTTTTCTTTTATTTATTTATTTTACTTTTTTATTCTCTTTATCCCATACCCTCCCGTCCATGTTCCCCACTCCCACTCCCACTCTCTCCTTTTTCATAATCATTGTCTTTTCCTTCCCATCAACTCTTTTTTTTTTAAAATAAATGATTCATCCTCCACCCACCACACCACATTCTCCTCATCATTCCCTCAATACTAATATATATATATATATATATATTTTATTATAATCTCTTACCCGTACTTGTCGCTAGCAAACTTCTTATATTCTTATGGGAATCCAATATATTTCTTTTGCGTTTTCATGGAGGGGACATTATAGCATTCTTCTATGAACACATAGAAGCATGCATTTATTCTTGTACTGTTCCTCTTCAGTGTTCTTGAAGATCAAATAGTAAAATAGAGAAAGCTTCCTTCATAATGATTTATTCTTTGTATTGTTTCTAAGTTGTTTTCAGCTTCCCGGCATCGTCTTAATTTATCTACAAATGCTAATGCTTTGTTTGGTTCACTAAAATAGAATGCAATGATCATTCCATTATAATGTTTATTCTGACGTTTGATTCACTAAAAAATGATTAAAAATATGTCACAAATGAAATCATCATTAATTACTATAACAGAATATACTCATCCCACTACATTTCTATTTCATTCTAATTAACAAAACACTCCATAATAGTAATAAAGAAACTTTCCTTTTGCTTGTGAGTTGTGGCTAACAACAAACTTCTTATATTCTTTTCTTGAAACCATGTTTTGAGTTTGATGGAGGGGACAGTAACCATTCTTCAATGGAGGGTATTATATGGGTGGTGGAGACAGAATTTTAGTTCAGTAACCAAAACTTTGGATTGCATTGTTTTTTTCCCCAAGATTAGGTTGTTGGGATAGGATGTAGATTTAGTTTATGATTTAAGGTCCCAAAATATTTAATTTCAACTTAGGGATTTTTCCAGTATAAAATTTTTACAGAAATGACCAATTTGGGATTGATGTAGATTTAGTTAGAAGAAAAAATCTAGTGATATTTTTTGTTCTGCATTTTGTGGAGGTCCTGTCTCATCTAAATCATCATGTACTAAAAATCAAACACTAAGAAGCCCGTTCAGTTTTATTTTTAAAATATTTTTTATTGTTCTAAATTGTTGAACGAATCAATGAGGAGAAATGAATGACGCCAAAGCTACAATCAAAGCTGCTCACATTGGTTTCTGAGAGCGATAGTGGACGCTGATGAACGTTGAGACAGAGATATAGAGATGTGTTAAAGTAGAGGTGGATGTTATCCGAAGAAATGTTTTCTTTCTTCTTCATCAATAATACTAAGATGATTGCAAATTTCAAACCCAAAAACCATGCTTAAGATTTTTGCTCCAAAAATCAGTTAAAAGTTATTAAATAATGTTCATCTATGACATTAAAAATATTCTAGGAGAAGTCTTTCGTCAAGTGAGCAGTTGAGTAGCATGAAAATTAATTTTAAAGCTGGTACTTTTATGTAACTGAAATTCACTTTCGAATGTATTTTATTATCATTCCATTAAATTCGAAACTGATTTTTTTTTAAACACATTGAATACTGTACGAATGACATTGCCAAAATACATTTTTTAAAGACAATGATACAGAATACATACTTTAGCTTCCTTTGTGTCTTATTATCAACAAACACTAATGGAGAAACCTTGCTTGTGCTTGTGGTTAACAAGCTTCTTATATTCTTAAGGGAATCCATATATGTCTTTTGAGTTTTCATGGAGGGGACGTTATATCATTCTTCTATGAACACATAGAAGCAAGCATTTATTCTTTGTATTGTTTCTAAGTTGTATTCAGCTTCCTTGCGTCATCTTAATTATCAACAAACGCTAATGCTCTGTTTGGTTTATTAAAACAGAATACAATGATTATTCCTTTATAATGTTTATTTTCACATTTGATTCACTAAAAATGATGAAAAATAAATGTATAACAAATGGACTCATCATTCATCATTATAAGGGAATACTCATTCCACTAATTTTTTATTTCATTCCAATTAACCTAACACTCCATAACAGTTTTTTCTTGGCTAACAAACTTCTTATATTCTTTTTATTGAAACCATGTCTTTGAGTTAGATGGAGGGGCAAGTAACCATTCTTCTGATGGAGTGGATTATATATATGGATGGATGAAGCCAGAATTTTGATGTTACCTAGAAATTTAGAACTATATATGAATGTAAAGATACTTGAAATTTGAACGAAACAGAGTGATAACTTAATGCTGTGTTTGGTTGGAGGATTTAGGGAGGGATTTGGAAAGGGAAAGGGAAAAGCTGTGTGAAACTAGATGAAATTTAAGCATGTTTTCTTCATATTTCACCTACCTTTTCCATTTCCCTTTCCAAATCCTTCCTCAAATCCTCCAACCAAACACAACATAAATGAAAATATAGTTCCACATAAAATAAACATAAAAACCGAAAAGAAAAAAAGAGATAATGTATAGAGGAGAACACATGAGGCAATAGGTTTCAACTTAGTTGAATCAATTACACTCCTAACAAACACTACTTTGAAGTATAATCAGGGCATACAATAATGCTACTCACACCAAAATAGATCACTGAACTGAACACAGAATTTTATGTGGCCTAAAACATCAAAGGAGGTAGTTGCATCATTCATATGCTAGGTATAATAAAAACAGCACTGTTACCATCGCTGCAATTTCCAATCGGGTAATGCTAGGGATACCAAATTTTCTACCAAACAAATGACCAAATGTCGCACATGGGTGTGGGGTCCGCAATTTTGTGGGCCCCACACCCATGTGAGACATTTGGTCATTTGTTTGGTAGAAAATTTGGGACCTCTAGCATTTTCCTTTCCAATCACCAATATAAAGCAAAATGTTTGTATCTATAAATGCTATTTAAAATTTTGGTGTCACTCATTTCTCCCCTTTCACCAACAGCATGAAAATTAATTTTAAATTTTAAAGCTAGTACTGTTAGGTAACTGAACCCTGAAATATACACCTTGCAATTTGGTTGGAATCAACACTGAGATTCACTTTTGGATGTATTGTAATATCATTCCATTAAATTTGAAACTGAATAAATTTGACTCAAATTAAAAACTTTATTAACGAAATTGACAAAATAAATTTTTTGAAGACCAAGTGACACATAATACATACTTTAGAGACCATAGGTATAATTTATTCAGCATCAACATAGATTTAGATGTAGATATGAATAAATAAAGAGATGGAATAGGCAACGCATGAGGTGGCCAAAGTATGCCCGAACAACCAAGTCATATGATATCTGGGAAATAATTCTTCCCTAAAAATACAGTAGTCAATAAAAGTTCAGTGATAACCTAAACCTGGTTACTACATTCTTATGCAAAACATTAGCTCTATATAACATAATGAAGAATAAAAAAAAAATAGAAACAAAAAAACATAATCAAAATTTAGATTAGAGATACAACAAGAAGAAATGTATGGCCATAAGTTTGTCTAAATTAAAGTTACGTAGTTAAACATAATAAACATGTCCATGTTGGCACAGATGACACTCTTTGTTTGTTTGTGGTTGCCTCTGCAATTGAATTTCCTTCCACGATAAGCGCTGGCAGCAAAAGACCTAACAATTACAAACATATACTAAATGTAAAGAGATGCAACATATCAATGAACAATATGAGTACTAAACGTACAAGTGATTTAGAATTATTTTATTTTGATAAAAAAAAATATTTTTTTTTTTATTCTAACCTTAAAAATGATGGTATGTTAGTGATTGTGATAGTGGTGTAGGTGGTAGGAAAGTGAGCAGAGGTGTACTGGTGGTGGTAATGGTAATAGAAGTAGTGATATTAATGGTGTAGATGGCAAGTGGTGATAAGGTTGGCCAAACTTTCAATAAGGCCTAAAATAAAATCTCAATAAAAGCGTTTTTATATTTTAATAATACTAATTAAATTTTTTATCTAAATAAAAATTAATGTTAAACCCGAAAACGACGTCAACTTCCCATTCACTCATAAATGGTTTTAACGTTCCGTCTTCATCGTGTGACTTGCTACGCAGCAAGGAACACGTCACCTTTTCGAACCCACCCCAAAAAGATGTTTGGGGCCCACACAAATTGAGCTAAAAAATATGCCTATAATAAACCATTTTCCAACACTGATATCAAAGATAAGAAGGATTATTTATTTATTTATTTATTTATTTTGACATTTAAATGAGGAGTATAACTTTTTAGACTTTAAATAAAGAGCGTTAAAAAATAGGAAACTTTTATGGTACACATTCCTTAAAAGATGCTATCATATGCACCATGTCATATATTTTTATGGTGTTTGTAACATATTTTTGTGGTAAATATTACATATTGTTTTGATATTGGTACAACAATTTTTTATTCAAAAATGAAATTTTGCATTTTGGGATAATGTTACATTTATTTATCCAAAAAAATTTTATCCACAAAAATGCATAATATTACTACAAAATGTATAACTTGATTTTTGAATTACAAATTATTGTAACTCTATCAAAAAAATAGGTAACATTTATTACAAAAATACATAATAAAGGTGCATGTGGTACACTCCTCTTTTGAGGAGTGTGTACCATAGCACTGCCCTCAAACTTAATATTGTATTTGGTTATGAGATGTGATGAAAAGAAATAATTATTAGTGTTTTTTTTTTTTTTTTTTTTTAATTATTTTTTTTATTACTTTATATAAAATGGTCCAAATTTCAAACCCAAAAACCGTTTTTTAATTATTTTTTAAAGTATTTTTTTGATTTTTTTTATGAGATGAAAAAATGTTAATGAGAATGACTTTTTTTAAGTTATACTGTGAATTATATTTTTTAGCTATTTATTAAGTTTTTAAATTTTTTAATGACTTTTTAACTTTTTATTGATGTTTTGACTAATAAAATAGTCAAAAAATAAAGTTGCCAAATGGGCTCTAATAAATCAAATATATCCATGACACTAAATTAAAGAAAAAAATTACAAAAAAAAAAATTCAAAATTTGATAATAAAAAAAAACACAAAAGTAAAATAAATCTTTAACATTTTAATATAAATTATTAACTTTTTAATTTTTTTAAATAACTTCTTTTGACTTTTAAATGCCAAACGACTACAAAAAGTCAAAAACGGCAATTCAGTTGAGCGCAAACCTGAAAGTTAATTGAATTGACATTCAACTCATTTTTATCTTCCCCAACCCTTGCATTTTCCACCTTCCGATTGAAATATTGTTGAAGAGTGCAAATTTGAGTAATAGACATTTCTTTTCCGATTCGGGACCAGAGGTTGACACGAGGGATATGATATGCTCGACGATCCAGTAGTCTTTTCCTCGGTTGGGTTTGGGTTTGGGTTTGGGTTTTGGTTCGGGTTCCATTCTATTTATCAATTCGTCTAGCATATCAACAAACTCCTCAAGAGTTTTGAGGTTTGTGAGGTGGTGGATGCCAGATGGTACCTCATTTAGTTGTGGGCTAGGCCCAATCATTAGCTCTTCAAGAAGAGGCAATGCTCCTTCCTCTATTATCACCGAATTCAATCCATTCAACCCTACAAGAGTTAGTTGCTTAAGTTTTTGAAACCTTCCGACCTCAAAATACAACTCCTCCCCATCATATGCATCCAAAAGCCAAAGACGTACTAGACTAGGCAAGACTTGAAGAGCTTTTAGTGGATCATTCTTGGTCAAACCTGAACCCGATAGAGATAATCTGACTAGACTTTTAAGTTTCGGGATCCAATCGGGCAACTTCTCTAAACGTCCACCCAAGTAGAGACGTTGAAGATATTGAGGTGGAGATGATGATGATGATATATGCTGTAAATCCAGAATCTCATCATCACTTGAGGCCAATACACTCAAACGTTTACGCTGTGTTTGGTTGGAGGATTTGAGGAGGGATTTGGAAAGGGAAAGGAAAAAGTTAGGTGAAATGTGAATAAAATGTATCTACATTTCACCTAGTTTCACACACCTTTTCCCTTTCCCTTTCCAAATCCCCCAACCAAACACAGCATTAAGGTATTTCATCTTCTCAATGGCTGCACATAGAGCGCTCCCATGTTCTCTTTCCAATTTCCTAATTCCCAACTTCCTTAGCTGTCTCAAATTCTCAAGCTCTTTAATTAGCCTAAGCCCGTCATCATGATTTGTCTCCACGTACAACAAATTTTGCAGCTCCTTTAAACCCTCAATCCCTCCCTGTATCTTCACTCCTACTAGATAATTCACCATGTTATATATAAGAATAGGCAAGAAGATGTCGCAACTTACGGAGCCTACTGATATCAAATGGGAGCTCTCTTACGAGAGAATGTTTCAGATCCAAAGTCTGTAGGTTTTGCAGCTTACCTATGGACTTTGGTATTATCTCCACTTGTGTGCTCCTTATGCTTAGGTATCTCAAAAGAAATAGATTTCCCACTTCTTCATCAAGTTGATCCAAATGAGCATCCTCAAGATCCAGCACTTTCAAAAGCTTGAAATTTGCAACTACTGTACCCAATAAGGGCTTCTTTGGCAGCTCTCCCTCTTGAAAAAGAAAAATAGAATGAACTGGGGATTTACTAATGCTTTTCATGACCTTATCCATGTCGCAGTAACGTATATGCATAGATAGCCGGCGAGTTGTGGCATTGAAACTTGAATTCTCTTTTTCCAAAATTTGACACAAACTAAACTCCTTGGACATTGAGAGAATAATCCCCCGCACTGCCATCATGTACCTTACACCGTCCAACTCTTCCATCAAATTTTGTTGTTGACACTAGAACTAAGCGTCTATGGATCAACTCAACTCAGTCAAGTATTCTTCTGCAACTTCTTCCAATGTTTTTCCATTTTGCTCTTCAACAAAACCCTCAACTATCCATAGCTGAATAAGTCTCCTAGCTTTGATAAAGTAGTCTTCTGGCATTATGCCAAAGTACAAGATACAAGATTTGAGGTGGTGAGGTAGATCATTATAACTGAACAACAAAATTTTGCTAATGCTTTTAAGATCAGGATTCCTTTCCAACTCAGAGTTCATGTTACCATAGAATTTTTGCCATTCGGATAAACCCTTATTTTTGGTGGACAAGAGACCACCTATAGTTACAATTGCAAGTGGCAAACCTTGACACTTTCTAACAATTGCTTGTGATACTTCCTCCAACTCAGGGGGACAATGACCTCCAAAGTCCAATTAGAAGGCTTTCGTGTACAAGAGTTTCCAAGCGTTCTCTTGGGATAGGGCACTGAAGTTCCTGTGCAAAATGCAGCAACCTGTTCTTTGCGTGTGGTGATAATTACTCTACTGCCTTCACTATTTTTGGGTAAAGCATGTCTTATGGATCCCCAAAAATCAGTTTCCCAGACATCATCAAGCACAATGACGTATCTCTTTTCGGATAAATATCCTCTTAGCTTGACAATGAATGACTCAATTCCCTCATCAGGTAGAACATAAATTCCTGATAGCTGCTTTATCATTGTTTTGAGGAGCTCCTCTGGCTTGTATGATTGAGAGACAGTGATCCACGCTTTGTAATTGAAGTGTGCAACCACTTCTTGGCTGTCATAAACTTTCTTGGCAAGAGTGGTCTTGCCAATTCCACCCATGCCAACCATCGAGATCACTGCTCGTTGTGATTGATTTTGGTCAACCAATCTGCGTATCAGTTCATATTTGGGAGATTCAATGCCAACGACTTCATCATCCCCTATGAAAAGGGAAGCCAGTCGGGGGTCACGCCACATTTTGTCCTTGCTGGTGCTGCTATGTTCTGACGAAGTACTAGTACTAAATGCATATCGATCAGCTCCTTCCTTGATCTCACGGATTGAAGTCTTGATGTCTTGGATCTGAGAAGCTATCTCATGTCGTGCCTTTAACTTAGTGATCGTCTGAGTGACTTTATGCAAGGAACTGAATAGTCCAGGTTGTTTTGGCAAGACCAAGAGAATGTGTTCATCGATAACATCTTGTATCCGATAAGCAACTTGTCTTACTTGTTTCACCCATATTTTCACACCTTCATCTCCAGTTTCTGCTCTTGATTCTGCATCTTTTAAGAATGAGTGTATGCGCTCCAATTCAGCTTTGATACTGACAATTTCCTTGCGGACACCCTTCAACAACTCTACTTCTCCAGTTAACAATGGTGCCAAATATTGAAAAACAGAGCTCACTGCTCTTTCTGCCATTACTTATCCCTGCACTAAACACACCATTACTTATCCCTGCCACATAGAAAGGAAATTAGATGGAGTTTGGGTCCTCTAAAGTAGATGGTAAAGTCATTTATAAAGTAAAAAAAAAAATTGATTGGTCTATTTTTAAAAAAATTTTAACCATTTTTTTTTAATAATTTGTTTGGAAAAAATTCAGAAAATTAATTATGAAAATCAAATCAAACCAAAAGGACAACATTGCCAAGGTCTATTATAATCATATTTAAGGCAACAAGTCAAGCCATGTGACCTTGTAATTAGATGGTTCAATCAAGCTGAAAAATTAATAATAATTACTATAAATTCCATTGATTTTGACTGAGCTTGAAAAAATTCCAAGCTCTATAAATTTGACATAACTATACCAACTCTTTTTTAATAAAGCTACGCTAAAGCAAAAGAAATTAATACAAATGGCGTAGACACAATTATGATGGATGATAACATATATGTACTAGTGGTTGGCACACATATCGCGTGTGTAATTCGAGTAAAAATAAAACCAAATTTTTACTGTATATTGTGTGTCACTTATATAGTAAGTGTTTCTTTATTTGATCGATGGTTAAGGTTCGAGTCTTGATCTTTTCATTTATCTAATTTTTTTGTTTTAAATTAAAAACTGAACACTTGGCAGAATAAGAAGTTGAGAATACCGGGATGTTCATTTCATAGATATATATTTATTTATTTCAGTGTAAAAGATATGCAAACACAACAACATCATCATTCATAGATTTGAATAGAGATTCGTGGATGAGTAACTTAAATCATGATCCAAAACAGAAAAAGATAGTAATGGGTTGTACAAACATACATACCAGCAACCAAGCAGAGATTGATGATTAGCAACTCTGCAAAGTAGAAATGGATATGAAGATCCCTAAACCAAACCCTGGGAATTGCTTTTGTTGCTTTTGTGAGATTTCAGCAAAAGCTTCACTCTATGAATGAGTTAGGCTTCGTTTTTGAAGAAGACAGACTAGACTTTGTAGACGACTTGGGTATATTAGGAGGAAAAGGAAAAGAAAACCAAGGGTAGTGACAACAGAAAAGACAATTTCTCCTTTTATTAGTATTTATTTGGCATGTCCATTTGGACTAAAATTGTGATATAGGTTAAAATTGATTATTTTCGTCACATAAGATCAAACGTTACATTTAAATCATAATTATTTTATTTTTTTCTCCATAAAAATCAAAAAAATCAAAATCTATCCCAAATGAAACTTTTTAACCCCAGACTAAAATAGTCCAAAAGTTAAAAAGTCAAAAAATCAACCCACATCCCAAACAAAGGTTTAGATGAGTAAAAAAACAAAAAACATAAACAAAGAAAAAAGTGAAAGAGAAATATGAGTGAGATTTTTTATTTTTATTTTATATTTTGATAGATAATTTTGGTATTATAAAATATATATATATACAATCGATTGCTATTAAAATTTTTTGGACATATAATCTTTTGATCATATTTATTATCTGCTTTGGGTCCTATAAAAAAATCAAAGTCGTCCTATAAAAAAAATCAAAGTGGACTTTGTCACCTTTAGTTAATTTCTCACCAAATCTCTTTTTCTTTTTTGGTGAGAAATAAATATGACATTATTAGAGAGTTCTATTTCTCACAATTTATTTTTATTTTTTTAAATTAATGAAACATCCCTCTTTAAATTTTGATAGTAGGAGAGGTTTAATATATTTTTTCTTATTAGTTAAGGTCAAAATTTTCTCTGTGACGAACTGAAATCTCTTTGTAAAATTTTTAAAATTGCTCTGTGAAAACAAATTTTTCTGTAAAAATATTAAGAGACCCCAACAATTATAAAAAATATTACAATTTCTTTATCATAAAAAATTTTAATATCAAGGACCTTAAACTAACACCCACCCCCCTCTTTTTTTTTTTTTACCTAATTTGTAAACTAAACATGAAAAATAATTATTTTTCTCATAATTTTTTTTTTTATCATTTCTCATCAAATCACTCAATTTAAAAAAAAAAAAAAATCGTTAAGTTGGATTTGATAGTTACTTTTTTAGTAAATTTTTATTTTTTTTAAAGATAAAATTATTGTTAAAAAATGGCTTGTTTGGTTTGTTTTTAGGAGAGTTGTTTTTCTACTTTTTTTTCAAAATTTTGTTTAATTTGTGGTTTTTCTCAAAAAAATTTCAAAATCACTCTCTCTTACACATCAATCAATCACTTTTTCTCTCTCCTCTCTTATTCTCGATCACTGTTTTTCTCACACGCACTACTCAATTACAACAAAATATCAAATCATCTCAAACTCCTAAACTCCAAAACTACTTTCAAAATATATAACCAAACAAACAAAAAAAAATTCTAAACTCTCTTCCCAATTTTTTTTTTTGAAAATCACTCTCAAAAGCAAACCAAACCCGTGTTTGACAAATTCTAAGAAAATAGATTTTTTATTTGGAAAAGTTTTTAATTATTAAATTTTTGGTGTTTAATGATCTGTTTTTAGATTTTTTTTTTTCCCCTGTTTTTTATCCTTCTATATTAATCTAGACTAGAAGTGCCTGAAAATTTTAAAAATAATAATAATAATACAAATTTTTTTAAAAAAATCACTAAAGACAAATTTTACAAAAAATATATATAATTGTTTTCTCAGTTGCCAAACAAAAATGAATCTTGTTAAAAAAAAAAAAAAAAAATCTCAATTGTTAGCTTAAAAAACCATAGCCAAACGGTTAATTTTTTTCTTACATAACCAAAAAATAATAATAAATACCCAAACAGTTATCTTTTTCAATTTAAATAACCAAAAAATAACTAAAAAAAGAGTAAATAATATGGAGAAAATAAAGTAAAATAAAATGACTACTCAGCTCATGAACCTGCATTTAGGCCAAGTTTGGGGACTTTAAAAAAAGTCAAAAAGTCAAAAAGTTACTCAAAAACAAATTTTTTTAAAAAAATCACTAAAGACAAATTTTACAAAAAATATATATAATTGTTTTCTCAGTTGCCAAACAAAAATGAATCTTGTTAAAAAAAAAAAAAAAATCTCAATTGTTAGCTTAAAAAACCATAGCCAAACGGTTAATTTTTTTCTTACATAACCAAAAAATAACAATAATTACCCAAACAGTTATCTTTTTCAATTTAAATAACCAAAAAATAACTAAAAAAAGAGTAAATAATATGGAGAAAATAAAGTAAAATAAAATGACTACTCAGCTCATGAACCTGCATTTAAAAGGAGAAAGGAGAAAAGCATTTTTATTTTTCTCAGATGCCTTGCTCTTAAAAGGAGAAAAGCAAGAATACAAGAAAAAGCAAGCAAAGCATCACGCGTATGGAAAAAGTGTCCCCCTTCTTATCATCACAATCACTATCACTACTTCCACTAGGCACATTCCACGTAATTGCGCACCACAAAAAAGTTGCTAAAGACTACATTCCACTAAATTGTTGGCCCTATTTATATTCAACTGTTGTTGATATATACATGTTTTTTTATGAAGTGAGCCATAAAATCGACCAAGTGAAGATGAGAAACTACACTATCTAAGTCATCTTCAGATAAATATGCCAATCCAAAGAGTCACACCAGATCAGCATATTTTATGTCCAAGAACTTAATCTTTGGCCCCGTTTGGCAGACACGTTTTAGTGAAGCAAGAAAATAGTACTCGAGATTATATATATATATATATAATTGTTCCTAATGGTGTAAATTGTCTTTACTAATGTCTTCCAAGGAAAAACTATTCAACTTCTTAGAAACACAAATTTTAGTATTTCACCAATAGAACACAACTTGTCTCATAGTGAGAGCTCACAATAGATCTTCTTCATCAATCTCTCTTGGATGTTGTACGGGAAAGAAATAAACCTTCTCATATAATCCTGTTGATCAAGTCTGCGCTCCTCTGTACGTCGTCGCTTTATCACCTGAAAACACAAACGTGAGCTAGCCGGCGGGTGTGTGCCGAAAACCTCTCCGATGCCTAAGTCAGTGAGCTTGACAAATAGACAAAAGCTCCGTGTAGTCTGAAAGCAAAGTTGCGTGTTACCTCTCCAAATGTGATGTTTGTGAGCTTTTATAGGTTTCGTATGGCACAATCCTAGTAGGACTTTTATTCCTCCATGTAGAGTCCTCCTAGGATTTAACCTCCTGAAGGATAATCCTTATCCTCCAACACCCCCCTCATTGCTTAAACCAAGTGAGATGGTTATTACCATGGCCGAACTACAACATGACCGAAGTAATCATAGCTATGCTAAGCCGCAGAGTAGGCCGAACTATCCATAGTTCGGTTCTTCCTTTTACTCCTCCTTATCTCGGTGCTCTCATGCACAAACCATGGTATGTTTAGACCAAGCTACCGAGTAGCAAGGTTCTAACCGTTCTAAACACAATACGTCATGACCGGACTAACTCTGAGACCGGCCTAACTCCAAGTCGCTTCCGGACCGGAGTAACTTTACATTTCTCTCGGGCTGGAGTAATCTTTTACCTCTCTTGGGCCGGAGTAATTTTACGGCCTTTTTACCCAGCCCTTCATACTTTGGGCCATAATGACCATCTCATAGCTCGGCCCAATTTTCACTAAAATTACCCTCTCAGATGTATATTGCTTTGCTACCTCGCAAATTACTCCCTCCTTGTTGCCAATAACCACCCTAAATTTGCATGCCCTGAGAATAAAACAAATCTTTTTAGCCAAAATAATGATATAAAATATATTATCAATAAATACAGATAAAAGATGAACAACCAAATAAATTGAAAACCAAAACTAGAATTACAAATCCTTGTGCCCGCATTCTTAAACTTGGTTGTCATTGCCTATTGGTAAATGTGAACGGGACAAATCTTTCAGTACATAAGGTCAAGAGGATATGACTCATGGTAAGGTGTACACATGCCAGACCTCTTGAGTCTACGGAAGCCAACTCAACCACTAATATGAATTACGTGACCAAAATATCCAAAGCCACATGCCAACAAACTTCCTTTTATTCCGAAACCCATTGGGAATCCAAATGCCTAAACTGATATCCCACAAGGTCACATAAGATATACTAGGATTGTTTGAAATGAAAAGACAACACTTGATTTGAAGAACTAAGAAACCATATCCACAAAATGACTCCATGCAATACCTAATCCCCTCATCACTAGAGAAACGGTTACCTGGCCATCTTGCCCAACCAAGCGGTTGAGACCTCTCTACTCATTACTCATAAGTTCATGGTTTAAAATTTAAAATAGAAAACAAATAGGACAAGAAATAGTAGAGAAATAGAGCAAGGAAAGGAAACATCTAAATAACAAGAGGATTCACATACTAAAAATAGAATACTAAAGAAAATTAAAATTGGACCAACATGCATAATTCCATGTTGAGGAAGAATGGATGTTGTATAACTACTACTACTTGGAAAAAACATAACTTATTCCTCTCAGCATTAGTTTCATTACAAATATTTATATAACATTATCAAAAAAAAATTCTCAAAATATCAACTACTTTCTCATATCAATTTCAGGCTTCGCACTTTGATGGGTCTTAAAAACATTTCAATGAGTACTGAAGTATACATGGGAACACATTTCTTTACAGAATAACACTGTTCTATATAACTACATATACGGTTTCAACCTACCTTAACTCCCAAACTTCCTAACATGAAAACCCAGGCATTTCAGAATGCGAAATCCCAACCCTGATCCAGCCTAGTTCCCACAATTCATGCTTCTATAAGCAATGCAAGAAGCTGATTCTAGGAGCTACTATTTCCACATACCACTTTCTCTCAATTCACACGCCAATTTTCTTCCATAAATCAATTTCATAACGAAACTAAATTATTTCGAACCATGTAATTTTGTTCGGAAGTTGATATCCGAACCAAAAAAGTGTATGCACTGAGTAAAATTAGCGTGTGGAAATAGAAGCTCTCCAAATTTCATGGGCAGAAGCTCGCCCGGTTGGATACACAGGGACTTCCATGCAGATAGGTAGAGAAAGCAAATTGCCTTGAGATATTAAATTGGCCATGGATTGTCCACAGCTTGCCTGT